ACACTCCACACTCCCCCCTCCTCCCACACACACCAAACTCAACCACTACCCGCTCACTGGAAAGTCGCAAAACATTGTGACAGTGGCTTCTGCAAAAACATATTTGGCTTACACAGAGACCATCAAGCGAGATAGTCATCCTTCAAAGTTGTTTCTGAGCTCATCCTCTACACTGGCTGGCTCCCAGAATGGTTCATCTTGCAAAGCCACCTAAAATTAAATATCATCACACTTTGGTCGCCTCAAAATTTTTTGAGCATAGTCATAGTAACTGTGATTACTGTCCTATGTACATACAAAGGGATAATATATCATAGTCTGATGTGTCAAAAATTAGATCTGATGAAATAGAAAGTGAAACATGAAAATCTCATGTATGGCATAATGCAGACAACCTGTGTCATCCCTATAATACACCGTACTTAGTGATATGCTTGTTTGGTCGACAGTGGCCACAAAATAATGATGTGGCTATCTTTACTGGATTCATTCAGGCATTTATATGGGCTTGTACTGATTATGGCTCTTCTTCCCTATGTGAGAAAAATTCCTTGCATTTGGTGTTGTCCAAAAGCTACTCGTTGGCTTTAGCAGATAAGTGTGTCCAAGTAAGGAGAGACAGGAGTATATTTTCAGTTAGCATGAAGTTTCCTCACTTGACCATCTCCGCTTGACGATGATAGCCACCACCCCACTGAACACAACCACCAAAAACAAAAAACGATTATCACTGTGGCTACTGCATCCTATCTTCTATACAAGCCTCCGTCTCATCATCTCATAATGCATAAATAATCAACATGTACCATCTTTTCTTTAGGCTAACATGAATAAGGTGATGGAAAGAGGAGACACTTTTTGAGAGCGTGAGCCTTCTCGACTCTTTGGTAAAAAAATCAAAAGATCTTTACTTCCATTTATAGCCGCTGCTGAAGAAGCAGACTCCTTCAGAGCAATTAGAGGCCTGATTTTCACACCAATGCCCCCATCCGGCACTCCGATACTAATATCACATGTCTTGCATATCCCCTCATAATAAACAATCCTTTTAATAAGGAAATAGTAATTGCACTCGGCTGTCACGTAATTATGCCATATAGCAGTTTTTTCCTTCATAAAGTTTTTGTAAGCTGAGAATTGCATATGACAGTTGCGTTTTCATGGGGACTGGAACAGAGTCCACGAGCCTAATGGATTAACAGTGCCGTGCCTACTGATTTGTAGAAGAAGAATCCGTGCTGGGGGTCGGCGCGTACCAGTCACGTCGGCAGTCCATGTCCCCAATAACTGCACATCTGAGACAAGAGGCCTCACAGGTCATAATGACGGGTACACACCCACAAGTAAGCTAAACAACCTCCTATTAGCTTCGTGACAAAGACTGCACAATAACAAAATGCGGCTATAGTCTTGCATCGTGGGGATATTCGCTGTTCGAAAATCGAATTCCCGCGGCCATGTCTTCACCTATTTGAATGCACGCTGTCCTGAACCCATGTCAGTTATATACTACACCACTGAGGTAGATGTCTACGCTCTACCAAAGCAACAGGTCTGGTTAAAAAAACATCTCCAACACCCACGATAATCATAGCATTTGTTTACCTTCTGACATCAAGACGTTTAACTGGCCCATGCAACGTTTCTGCAGGAAATGAATACATTTCCCACATCTCTTAGACTAGGCTAATAGTTAATTAATCTGGCATAAATTATGTAATTATATACAAGGGCTTAGCTACATTTCTCATGTGTGAGTCCATATGCCCGTGACTTGAACGCCACACTACTACACTCGCACACTCTCCCCACTCCTCCTCACACAAACACTCACCACCCCCACAGGAGATTTCACTCTGGCTTCCTCCGCAGAATGTGTCATATCTCCCCCACTACCACCCTTTAAACGTAATAACTATTTGTGAGTTGTATCATATAGTGCCTTTTCAGTATTATGGTATCCCATTATGCTCTCTCTTTGATGCATGCTTTAAACTGATTCCTTATTATGCCTAGATAGAAGTTTGCATTAAAAAACACACAATGCTAATGGTCCTGAAAGTTGTATGTGGTGTGTGATAGTGCTGGTCAATATCTGTTCTCTGAATGTCAGTGTAGAGTTCCTCTGCAGCCTCCGGGGACCTCCAGTGTTCTGGCCTCTTCAGTTAGGCAGCCACATCCTCGTGCCGTCCATGTCAGCAACTGTGAAGTCTGGACGCTGGAGCTCCACTTGAACCTCAGGTAAGGTCGGTCTTGACTCGGGCTCAGTGCTCCTATATAACGTGGGAATTGACACACTCACGGGTATTATACTAGATAAGGAAAACATAACCAGCAGTGATCATGGTCTGATAGACAGCTCTAGGACATCCAGGTGGGGGAGGGAGAGACGATATCCTGACTGGCTCTTATCGTACACACACCTACAACTACATCCCAGCACACAGGTACATACGTACTTTGAACTTTTCTTATTACCCTCTTTGTTTGCTTATAGTACGACTATGGCTTAATGCCCATTGTCCATATCTCGTCGAGGACACTCCAGCCTCCACACGTCACTGGCAGTCGCGTACTTCTTGTAGTGAAGAGAGCCGCTGAGCTGACCTCTTTCACATGGATCTTTCCTCCACGGAGCCATAGTAGTCAGTGTTCTTTCAGAGCTCGCGACATGGCCAAAGTCCACCAATCTTCAATTTAACAAGCATACAGTTACTTACTTAATATTATCCAAGTCAGTCGTTATTTACTTTTATGCAGCTTCATCTTTATGGACACGCAGATATTTCTCGCAAAGCCAGGTCTCTGTGGACACCTTTCCCTGAGAGGTAGGCCATCCTGAGGCTATGTGGCGCACAGAAACTCATGAGCAGTGCGTGTGTGTGAGCTGTCCAGTGACTCTGAGGTGTCCCTGTGATAACACCAGACTACATTGGAAAGTGCAAGAATGCGTGTGTGTACTTACGAAGGCTTTAGTGAGTGTACGTACTCCTACTCGCTAAGCTCACCATGTGCATCATCTCCAATACTATCGCTCATCTGGAATGAAACAATAAACTATACTCCTTTCAAATCAATGAGATTGTCTAACTGGGGAGCAGATCCAGAGACCCTGCCACTGGAGAGCATGCATTGGGTTGTTTGAACTGGCCCATGATGCTGCCTCCTGACCAGGACCTGATCCGTTTCCTCGCTCTGTGGAGCTATCTCCAGTGACTTGACAGCCACCTCCCTCTCTCTCCTCCAAGCTCTCCACACTGTCCACCTCCTCACCACACCAACCTCACCACTACCCCGATCTCACTGGAAGACTGTGAGTGAGAGAACCATGCGGACCTAGTTATGAACAGACCATAATAATAGCACTGACGCAGAACTACCGACGTTAGCTGGTTTTAAACCATAGCACAGGGAGGGTATCAGTGTAATTCTCTAACCCTCGTGTGGTATTATCAAACAGAAACACCTAGGCTTAAGTTACAACTACCACCAAACACAACAATATTTGAGCTGACACAACGCAGTGTGTGTGTTGCTACTGGGGTGTACTGTACTATGCTGAAGAGACCTTTAGCCCGGGATGACCGTATCAGTCATAATAAGGCTCAAACATCTATTAGAGAACAGGTGGTATATAGCTATATTATTGTGCTGCAGATCTCACTTTAAAACCTGGGGGAGAGCGAGATTAAATTTTCCGTGTTCATGTGTTCTAACAAATTCCCCAATGGGAATTGCATCATGTGTGGTTAGCACATCTGTACTATTGGCACAGCTATAGTATGTAGCTAACCAATAGACTTACAATAACAGTTAATTGTGCTGAACTATAATACATTTGGGCAGTATAGGCTAACTCACAGACAATTTTGAATACATTAGTAGTAGCATCTATTCACAGATTGTGCCTACTGTATATTAGCCACTGTCATGGTTGTGGACAATGGCAAAGAGTATCTACTGTCCACTGTATTAGTAACACCATCACGTGCTTGGTTTCCATGTTGTATAAACAGCCTCGTTTCTAGATAGCTAGCTAGTGGCCACACTCACGAGAGTGTGTCATGTTGACAGACTGAGGTCCTGGAGCTGGCTCTTGAGGTCATCCTCAACACGGCTGGCTCCCAGAACGGCTCGTCGCTGCTCATGTCCGTCCGTTTCATAGTGTCCGTCTGATAGTTCTGGTAGTTGTGGGAGATTGAAGTCACTCTGCTCCTCACGTGCATAGTCATAGGTTACTGAATCCTGCGTTCCTGAAACCCACAGAGTAAGTACAAATTTTGCAGATTTGAACTCTAAATTACCATGGCAGCCCGTGTCAAAACCTCTTATGCTATAATGTTTCAGAGGAAAAAATTATACCTCTGTTAGTTTGTATTGCAGTAGAGTCCTGCTGTCCCCCACTTTCAGTTGACTCCACAGAATACACATTGTTATTCAAATCCTATTAGATGTAAACACACGCACGTTGAGATGGTGGTGGTAATAACACTCTATCAGATGTCTCTATACCTGAACCCCTTGTGGATTTGATTGAAATACATTCGTTACAGATGCCTTGTGCTTCCTCCATCTGTAAAACTTGTGCAGGATCACAGAAGAGATGACAAGCAGTAGGAGCACAGTCAAGGCTGAGAGAGCAACAGCAACGGCTACCAGCAACGTTTCATTAGATGAAGAGTCAGGGGTGTCACATTTGCCGCCTGCTGTTTATAAGAACTAGCACTGGTATAGCTGCGCATATAGCTACATATTTGTTTTACCTGCCTGAAAAGTGAAAGAGAATTGAAGGCCAACACTTTCACTGCCATCAGTGTTAATGGGGAATTTTCTAAATTTATTATTGTTCGAATTCAGGTATAAAAACTGCTCATCAATATTATCTTTGTCAACTGTCGCTGGTCTGCATGAACATCTGTTTGCCTTGTCTTCTGGACTGCATTGGGCATTGAACAGTATTCCAATGAAACATCCAGCTTTAACAGAGAACTTCATATTCGATTGAACGCTACAAATAACGGAATCATCCAAGGATTCATCAGTACAGTTGGCTGGTAGTGTGACAGTATTGATCCTTCTCCGGTCCTGAGCGTCGTATAATCCCAGGCGCATTTCAAATCGTTGACCGCCTGTTCTGTTAACTAATATGCAGTACCCGCTGGCGCTGACACCAACAACGGTCCCATTGTATTCAATGGGATCCCGCAGAAGAAAGAGTCCCGATTCGTACTTGGACTCTTGTTCAACCCGAAGCATCTCCAATCGGCTAACATTATGGTCGCTCTCGCCACATGTCTGCACTGTATGGGTAGAAATGACGATTTTTGATACAGTTATTGTTGGCTTAGATAGCTAGGTATAGAAAGTCGGCTAGCTATTAGGGCCTACCGGTACACGGCGGCAACGTCCCGTTTGCGTTGATACTCAGCGGTATTGATTCCACTTTACACAAGGAGAGGGCTAAGACAATGATAAAAGTTGCTTTCGGGCACATCTTACTCGATCATCATTGCTACTCACTCACATCGATCATCGATCAGTGTCTATAGTAACAGCAGAGCGTGGGCGAGAATATGGGCGCGCATGCGCAGTGCATTATTGCGTAGCGCCAAGGTTTTGATCATTACTCCAGCTATTCCTGATTTACTCTCCACCACATATAGTTACTCACAAGTATTATACGAAAGTTTAGACCATGTATTTCAGGTAGTGAACCACATATAATAGTTATAAGCCCTGCTGATCATCACTGATAAGCCATCAAATATTTTCATGATGAAAACTGTGTGGGGTGATCTTCAATAGTATATGTCTTTTGAATGTCAATGTAGAGTTCATTTCCAACCTCCAGGGGAGCTCCCAGTGTTCTGGCCTCTTCAGTGTAGGCAGCCACATCCTCTGCCGTCCATGTAAGCAACTTGAAGTCTGGACGCTGGAGCTCCACTTGAATCTCAGGGAAAGTGGGTCTGGAATCTGACTCTGGGTTCCTGCAAATAAGGAATTTCCTCATATTGACACACATTCACAACTAAAGACCTACCAGCAGTTGATCATGGTCTGATAGACAGCTCTAGGACATCCAGGTGGGGGAGGGAGACGATGTCCTGACAGAACCTTCTGGTACACCTACGAATCATACACAATGTGTCATACTATTGAATGACCAAAGAAAATTCTTTTCTATATACCTCATTGTTTGTTATAGTGCTATATGGCTTGATGCCTATTGTCCATATCTCGTAGAGGAGAACTCCAAAGCTCCACACGTCACTGGCAGTCGAGTACTCTTGTAGTGGAGAGCCTCTGGAGCTGTCCATTTCACAGGGATTTTCCCTCCACGAGAGACATAGTAGTCAGTGTCTTTCAGAGCTCGAGACATGCCAAAGTCAGCAATCTGAAATACCAGTCATGTTTCATTAACTTTCACGTATTACTTATTTCGAAACATCTGCAAGAATGTCTATAATTTCATTACTGAACACTCCTACACAAAACATGTCTAACAGTATCACATGCTCACTTTCACACTCATTGTCACACAAACAGAATAGCCTCATGGAGATACTGTATAAATAAGTCACGAACATAATAATTATCAAGTATTTACTTTGCAGACTTCATCCTTTAGACACGAGAATATTTCTGGCAGCCAGGTCTCTGTGGACAAAACCTTTCCCTGAGAGGTAGGCCATCCCTGAGGCTATGTGGCGACAGAAACTCATGAGCAGTCCAGGTGTGTGAGCTGCCAGTGACTCTGAGGTGTCCCTGTGATAACACCAGACAGTGGACACTGAAAGGATGCTTGGGAATCATAGTGTACTTACGAAGGCTTTAGTGAGTGTAAGTACTCCCGAAGATCACCAATGTGCATCATCTCCAATACTATCATCATCTGGAATGAAAACAATAAACAGTTTACTATACTACACTCCCTTTCAATGAGATTGTCTCACTGGGTCACGGTGTAGAAGAACCCCATGGAGAGAGATTACATTGGGATGTTTGAACTGGCCCATGATGGCTGCCTCCTGCAGGAACTGAATACGTTTCTCCTCTGTGGAGCCATCTGCCAGTGACTTGACAGCCACCTCCCTCTCCTCTCTCCCCACACTCCACACTCCCCTCCTCACCACACCAAACTCGCCACTACCCAGCTCACTGGAAAGTCTGTGAGTTACATACCAAAACAACGGTTGTCAAACTGTCACCATATATGATCCTTAATGTTTATATCGAGGAAGATGCAGGAATGGCGGAATTGAAAACGTAGTAGGAGCCTGCTAAGTATGGTGCCACACACCCTTCTGAGAAATGGAGCAATGAGGCTTAATGAGAAGGTATGCCATACAGGCTAAGGGAGCGAACATACTCTGAACATACTCATAATTATTCTTCATACTATTATCACAGACACACGATGGTTAGTAATTTACAGCGGACCTCCGATAAGGGACCCTCCAAGATACTTAGGGATGACATCTCTATAAAGGACATCTTTT